ATTATTAAGTATTTTTCCAAGTTGCTTCAAATATAACTGTAATATTTATTTGAGTTCTTATGCATTGGAGCAAGTTTTCAGTTACGGCTCTTTTTAAAAAATTAATATGTTTCTCAAATCAGAAATGATGTTTGTATGAGATGAGAATATTCAATTTAAAAATTGTAATCACAACAATTTAATTTCAAGTACCACTAAAAACAAGAAGCACTTATATCAATGTTAAGCATTAACTTACACCATGCTAATAGAGCCAAACACCCATCACTGCAATGTGGTCACCACCATTAACTATCTGCTGCATCACTAAAGCTCTGCTAAGTGTTCTGATTTCGTTCTGAGTCTGTTTTGCTACCAAATCTCAGTCGAAATTATATATTTTTTCAATTAGAGTTTACATTCAGTAGAGTTCTGTATTCAGGTATACAGCATAGTGGTTAGGCAATCGTATACTTGATAAAATGTTCCCCCCAATACTTCCAGTACCCACCTGGCACCATGCATAGTTAAATAGTATTATTGACTATATTCCCTTTGCTGTACTTTACATCCCCATCCATGACTATCATGTTACTTCTTAATCCCTTCACCTTTTTCACCAAGCCCCCCAACCCCTCCCCTCAGACAACCATCAATCTGTTCTCTGTATCTATGAAACTGTTTCAATTTTACTTGTTTATTCTGTTCTTTAGATAGCACAGATAAGTGAAATCATATGGTATTTGTCTTTCTTTGACTGACTTAGCATAATATCCTCTAGGTCCATCATGCTCTCACAAATGGTAAGGTTTCGTTCTTTTTCATGGCTGAGTAATATTCCATTGTATATATTAATCACAGCTTTTTTATCCACTCATCCGTTGATGAGCTCTTGGGTTGCTAACATATTTTAGCCATTGTAAATAATGCTGCAATGAACATAAGGGTGCATATAGTCTTTCAAATTAGTGTTTGGGGTTTCTTCATATAAATGTGCAGAAGTGGAATTTCTGGGTCATAAGGCAGTTCCATTTTGAATTTTTCAAGGAATCTTCATAATATTTGCCATAGTGGCTACACCAACCTGCACCAACACTGCACAAGGGCTCCCTTTTCTCCACATCCTCATTGATGCTTGTTATTTGTTGATTTGTTGATGGTAGCCATTCTGACAGCTGTGAGGTGATATCGTGATTTTAATTTACATTTCTCTGATGATTATTGACATTGGGCATTTTTTTCATATGTCTATTGACCATCTGTGTGTCTGTCTTTGAAGATGTGCCTATTCGGGTCCTCTGCCCATTTTTTAATTGGATTGTTTGTTTGTTTAAATTATTTCCTCATCCCAGAGACTTTTTGATTCCCAGTGCATAGAGACATTCAGATATTTTAACAACTCATTTTTTGTGGTCAGAAAGCCTTTTAAAATGTATTTAGATATGCATCTACTTCTAAGCTACATAATCTTCCTGTGACATAAGCCTAGTAATGTTTGCACTAAATCCAATTTTCTTAAATGTTCCTATCATCTATTCATGCCTTATTTGAAAAAAAGCTTGCTCCCACCTTTAGGACCAAAAATATTTAATTTAAAAATAAACAAAAAGTGATTCAAATGAAGCTATTTTCTTCCTGCTGTTATCCTCATCCTTTTATCTAATGCTTAGTATTTGTGTTTGCAATTACAAATGCATATACACACACACCCAAGAGATTAAAAAGTATTGCATACACAGCGATTAAAAAGTCTTGCTTCCTCCGACACGCCTCACATACAGAAATCACTGGACTCTCATCACATATAGCCATACTACATAGAACCACTTAATGGGAGATCCTCAGTGAGAAGTAGTATATCAGAATTGAGAAATGGATGGAACAAGGTATGTATAGCTTACCATGACATATTTTAATATAAATTTATATTTGGAAAGATGTTACTAATTCTTAATAACTACAAAAATATAGAGCCATACTAAATGTTCTTGGTTGGTAGGGAGCCACAAAACATATGTAATCTTAAGCAAGGTATAAACTCACCCCTGAGAAATATCAAAATCTCAGAAAGGGTGTGTAAAATATATTTATCATCAAACTGGGCATGCATTTTTAAATTTTGAGAAATATTGAATTTTTATGAATTCTACAGTAGGCTGGTTTGCGGCATGTATAGAAAACTGAAATAGAGAACAAGGGGACAGTGACCAGAGGGGAGAGGGAAGGGAATTTAAGGGAAAAAAGGGGAGGGATTTGGAGGAACAAATAGGAAGGACACAGGGACGAGAACTAAGGGGGGTGGAAATGGGAGGGAGGTGGGGAGCAAGGGGCGGGGGAGGCTGGGATGGGAGAAATAGACAAAAAACTGTACTTGAAAAATAACTAAATAAAATTTTTAAAAAAGAAGAAAAATGAGTTTTGAAGTGTAGAAAGGTCATAGATATATATATGTAACTGAAGAAGCAAACTAAGTGATCAGTGGTTTTAAAACTTCTTTTTTTTTTTAATTTTTTAATTTAATTTATTTATCTTTAGAGGGGAAAGGAAGGAGAGAGGGAGAGAGTTTGGTGCCTAATTTTTTGGTAAACTCTAATTCACTTTTTAAAATATATTTATTATAGAAATTAATAAGAATAATGAGGTCAAGCTGATGAACACAGAAATCTCAAACTAGTAGTTATGAGTATGATATTATACTGTAGTAATGTTAGCCTCAGCAGAATTTGTGTGTTCAGGATCGAGACAAATATTCATGCACACAGCACCATTGGTCTTTTGTATCAGGAAAGCTAACTCATCCTTCACAGTCCACAGCCCATGTGTCAGAGCCAGAAATGTGCGTCTTAGCCACCCAGAAGCAAGGGAGTTAGAAAAGAATGTGTTTTACTTTTTCAATCTCTATAATGGGAGAGTAGCAAGAGAGCAGAGTTTGGAAATTACTATTGAATCAGCAAAGCAACAGTCTCTACCATATTTGGGTTTTACATTAATACCAATTCGTTACAGCAACAAATTCAACAACCTTGTTTTTGGAAGCCTTTAACTTCAATTTACAAACATTATTCTATTTATGAATCTTATAAAATAAAACAATCACCTTCAGTTTTTATTTGATTGATATTTAACTCAAGTTGAATAAACTAAACTCCTTTTCACAATGAGTGAGGGGAAAACATTCTTTGTACATCTTCATAAGTTTGAGATCATCTGAAAATAAAAAACTTATTTAAAAAGTATCACTATTTAAGATTTCATATACATGTGTTGAATCATAATGTTACGAAAATAGGACTGATTTCATGTTACATTGAAGAGCTATATCTGCCTCTAAATATAAATTTAAAAGACAGGTCATAAAAACATAATATTGCCCTAGTTGGTGTGGCTCAGTGGGTTGAGCACCAGCCTGTGAACCAAAGGGTTGCTGGTTTGATTCCCAGTCAGGGCACATGCCTGGGTTGTGGGCAAAGTCCCCAGTAGGAGGCATGTAAGAGGCAACCACACATTGATGTTTCTGTCCCTCTCTTTCTCACTCCCATTTCCTCTGTCTAAAAATAAATAAATAAAATATTTTTAAAAACACACATAATATTTATGAAAGTGAATTGCTCAAAGAAATATTTTCAAAATACCAACATAAAAACACAGGCAGTAATATCTAGTTAAAACTGTAAATGTGGCTGACCATTGCCAATTCATCAAAGAATTTTTCCAATAATTTATATTTTTATATCTTAATAAATATATGAAAAAGTCAGTCTCAGTATAGATCAATTTATTTATACCTGTGGTCTCTGAAGTGTGTGATGTTCTATCAATGATGTCCTGTGATATAAAAATTCTTTGTTTTTGTTTTGGTCAATTTGTTGAAAAAGTATTGACAAATAATTTTAAAATAATTGCACATGTGAGAAAACTATTTACAACACAGCTCATTATGATATAAATTTCACTATTTTCCATCAAATTATGCACTGGAAAACAAATAAGAACAGTCAAAATCCACCATAAATTGCTTGTCTATAAGAATGCGATTGCCCCATTACTAAAATGTCCCACTGTGCTTTACAAAGGAAATAGGCACTTTTATTCTTCTCGTGAGTTAATGATAGACCATAAATACATTTTTACATCAGAAGCTTTATTTTCTGTTCATACTATTCTGCTTTTATTTCTTTATAATGAACAATTATTCTAGAAAGTGTCAAAGATGTACAAACTTGGTAAGGAGGCTAAGCAACAGAATTATACTGGAGTCTACAGTGAGTTTTTAAATTATATAAATATTTTTAAAAGGCATAGTTATGTTCCTGTGAAAGCTGGCACAGAGATGTTTACAGCAGCTTTATTCATAACTGCCAAAACTTGGACACACATTCAGACAATGGATTATTATTCCACACTAAAAACAAATGAGGTACTAAGCCATGAAAGAAATGGAGGAACCTTAAATACATGTTTCTGAGTGAAAGCAGCCAATCAGAAAAGAGCAGAGAGTCTCCTTGTTTCATTCGATGCGCTATGCCAAGGGCCTCACACCCAGGAACTATCCAGTCTGTGAATGAGCACATAGCATGTGCATCCCTGATACCCGTAATGTCTTTCTCCTCCTCTGGCACCACACCCGCCGTGATTCTGAGCTAACGGTAAGAATGCAGCAAAGTCCTGATTTTTAAAATGATTGGCTAAAACAGTTTTGAAAAAGAAGGAGGGGGATTGAGCTACACTGTAAACTATAGGTAGGGTTTTCATAGAAAAATAAGGATGGGAAAGGCATTCCAGGTGGGAAATAGCAAGTGAAAAGACAAAGGGAGGGGAATCCTGGAATCTTCTGAGGACACAGCAGAGTGTGTCATTGGAATGGAGGTCTCAGAAAACTTGCTGTCAGGCTCACAGACAAGGTGAGGCTGTCGTACGGAGGTGCATGCCAGGATGGGAAGACCAAGTGGTTATAAAGTATTGGGGGACCCACCCTTTTCAATGCCTTCATATTAACCTTTTCTCCCCTTTCTTCATCACAGTTTTTCATGGGAGTGGACAGGGCTTCCAGTGCTCCCTGGGCTATTTTGCCTGTGGGAACGTCACCAAGTGCCTGCCTCAGCATCTGCATTGCAACGGCGTGGACGACTGTGGCAACTGGGCTGATGAGGACAACTGTGGTGAGTGAGGCACCTGCAGTCCCAGCAAGAACCAGGAGGAAAAGGACTGACGGTGCAGTCACTGAAACCTTGTATAACGAAGACAGAAATGGGAAAAGCGAAAGCTCCACCAAAATACAAAACACAGGGTCCGACAGAAGTAATGCCCCTATTTTATTACAAAATCATGTGCATAATTCTGTACCGTGACAATATCACACTCAAGCACAACATCTGATATTTTAGGTAAAATGTTCAAATGAAAGCTAAACATTATTACACCCACATTATGATTCTACCAACCACACTCGTGCAGGTGTTACTTCTGCCAGACCCTGTATGTGTCACTAAGGAAATCTTAACACTTATTTCATTGGCGTAAAACACCTGCTCTTTTCTATGTGTTAGGACCACAGCCAACCTTTCAGGAAAGTAGTGATTGCGTAGGTAGTAAACTGTTTACTTATTTATTTATGAATTTCCTCACCCAAAGACATGTTTGTTGATTTTAGAGAGTGGGGAACAGAGGGAAAAAGGGAGAAAAACATCAATGTAAGAGAGACATCGATTGGTTGCCTTTCATACACGCCCCAACCACGGACCTGACCCAGAACATAGGCGTGTATGACCAGAAATTGAACCCGCAACACTTTGGTTTGCAGTATGACACCCCATCAAATGAGACACAGCAGCCAGGATCATAGTAAGTTTTTTAATGTGTAAACCAGTTAATAGAGGCAGAATGGAATCGAAATTGAGAATAAGGGCTCTGCGCCCAGACTGCCTGGTGTGAACCCAAATGCAACAATAACCAAGTATGTGTACTTGAGAATGTTCTTTACCCTCTTTGCCTCACTTCTCTGATGTGGTGAAAGGGTTCAAAAATTGTATCTACACTAAAAAATTTGGGAAGATTAAATGTAAAGGATTGGAAGAGCACATGCGTACAGCAGGCACTATTTAAGTGTTTCTTCTATGGCTCTGTCTTATCTTTTGCTTACTGCAGGAAAGATTAGGAGAATCTTTATGAAGGAAAAATTAGACCTCTTAAAAAAAACACTTAGCCCAGCTTACCTACTATTTAACTAACAACCATATTTATAACCCTATAAAGCTTCTGGTCAATTATTATATTTGCAGAAAGTGGACTGTTGGTTGGAATTTTTTCAAATGTCTCAAAAACACAAATTTAGAAAAGAAGTTGAATTGGCTAGATCTGACTCAGTGGGAAAAAATGAGTTTTGGTTAATAATGTAAATTAAGAGATTTCTTACTCACGCTAAAATAAGGTCCTATTTTTGGAAGATGAAGACATGTGAGACAATTCTAAGTGCTGCATAAATTACTGACATACTGAAGGTTCACCATTACCACTCCCTCAAGGATCACAGACTTTTTAATGCACCGCCTTGAAGAAATTAAACTTCTTGGAAAACCGTGTCTGGGTGGTGGCAGGAACTCAAGAGAAGCGACTAAACTGTTGAGCCTAAGCTACAAATGCCTCTGATTTAAAAGCCCGTAGATAATGTGTTCCTTAAATATATGTGTAGATTCATCATCTTGTTAAAATAACTGAATGCTACACAAACATTTTTTAACTAAGGTCAAAGTGTTCTGTTTCCCGCCAGCCACTTCTCCCTCAGCCTGCTAGCCATTCAGTGAGGGGACGTGACCCGAGAGCCCCCCCCGCCACTTCCCACTGAAATGTTGGCAAGGAGCAGGGGTGGGAACCTGGTATGAGCAACAAATTTACCTCCCAAGTAATTTCTCCATGAAAAACGTTTGGAAACTCTTACCTTCGTGTTAAATTTAAAGAGACCAAGTAACAAAAGTAACAATCCATAAAGTTGTAACCTTTGAAGTTATATAAATTTCTCAGCGTTCACCAACCAGCAAATTCCCAGTATAGGAGGCAATAGGGTATTGGAGTGTAATAATCAGGCGTGGGAGGCCTGGGCATAAATTCTGCCTATAAGGAGGATTTTATGGCTGTTTTCTTCATGCAAAATGGAAATAATAAGAGTATTTGTATTCATGGGTTGTTAAGAGGATTCAGTAAGATCTAATGCATTTACAATGTTTAGCAGAGTGTCTAACATATAATTAGCGCTCATTCATTAAGTGTGAGCTTGTGTGTGAGTCAGCTGTAACTATATCACAAACTTAGTGGGTTAAGAACTAGTAACCACTTACTTAGCCAGCAGTTCTGTGGCTCAGCAACTCAGGTCTGGTTTGTCTGAAATCAGCCATGCAGTTTTCTGTGTGTCAGCCTTGTTGTCAGGCCTGGGACTTTGGCTGAGACTACCTGGTGACTGAGCTCTGGTCTTCCAGCAGACTAAGCCAGGCTAGTTCTCATGGTAGACACATGGCACCCAGGAGTGAAGTGGAAGTCTGCAAGGCCTTTTGAAGCCACATGGCACTTGCACCACGATTCTTACTGAGGCAAGTCTCAAGGCCAGACCTGTTTCCAGAAGTGAGATGGACCCCTCCTGCAGCTGAGAGACCTACTGAATCAGAGAGATTCTGCTGGTGGCTTAGCGATGTTTCAGTAAGCTCTTCATGTCATCCTGATGGACGATTGATTCTGAGAACCACCGACCTAAATCCAAGTGAACAGAAAATCAGGATGTGAAATGGTACCGATAACAGAAACAAACTGGAATCTTGTTTTCATTTATTTCTTCTTAAAGAGAGGGAGAGAAATGCCAATGTACAAGAGAAACAGCTATCAGCTGCCTCTTGTACAGTCCCAACCCAAGACCTGGTCTGCAACCCAGGCACGAGCCCCGACTAGGAATCAGACCAGTGACATTGGGGTTCGCAGGCAAGTGCTCAATCCACCAAGCCACACCAGCCAGGACTAGAATCATATTTTCAAGGTGATATGCAAGCATTTAATTTATAAACTAACTTATTATCAATTATCTAAAATGTTTTAGTCTCCATAAGAAAAATAGATACTCTACTAGTTATAGGCATCCAAAAATACAAAAAAAAAAATCTAACTCTGCTCAAAGTCTCAAAGACGACCAGAGTGACATGCTGCCGCTGTTGTCCGTGCAGGAGTTGGCTGAATCTTCCCAGGAAGAAGGGCAGAAGGTCACCATCACCTACAGAGTCCAAGTGACTGAAAACTATGAGATGTAATTATTTCTTCTAGTTTCTTATTGCCTTAATTCTCTTCACCAGTTGTAAGGTTTTCTCCTTTACTTTATAGTATTTGGATAATTTATGTTCACCAGGCTGTTCATTTTTAAGACATCCATATTTAAATTCTGCTTAATGCTAATTAAATTGTCAGAAAGGTAGTTCTTTTTGGATTATGGAAACCTCAGGCTTATTTGAATAAGCAGCATTAAATATAGTTACAATCACATAAAATGCAATATCTTGACATATAAATTTTTTTAAAAAACACAGCTAAAATCACTTTTAGAGTGATCATTTATAACTTAATGGTATGTTGTCAAATAAAAAAAATATTTTCTTAATGGATAGGAGGACTTTTTCTTAAAATGAGTCTTTTAAAATACATCTTAAAATATAGCCTGTGGGACTTCCGGCCAAGATGGGGGCATAGGTAGATGCACTGTGCCTCCTCGCACAATCAAACTAAGGACAGCAAAAATTTAGAAACAAAAAACAACCAGGACTGACAGAAAATTGAACTGTATGGAAGTCCAACAACCACGGAGTTATAGAAGAAACATTTCTCCAGACCAGTAGGAGGGGAGGAGTCGGGAGGCCAGATGGTGAGAACTCGGCAAAGCGGCAACTGGACCCTGATGGACCCCGGTGGACCCAGCCAGGCGGGGACTGTGAAGCATGGCACGGTGCTGGCAGACTGGGTGGTCCTACATTCTGGGCAGATAAACCAGGTGAAACTGGGGAGCAAGACAGACCACGAAACCCAGGGTTCCATCACAGGGAAATAAAGCCTCAAAACACCAATGAAAATACCGGTGGGGGTTGAGGTTCTAGGAGAGACTCCCAGCCTCACAGGAGAGTTGTTGGGGAGACCCACAGGGTCCTAGAACATACACAAACCCACACACCCAGGAATCAGCACCTGAAGGGGCCAATTTGCTTGTGGGAAGTGGGGAAAGTGATTGAAATGGGGCAGAGAGCAGAGCAAGCGCCATTTTTCCTTCTTGGACTCCTTCCCCATGTGCAGTGTCACAACACAGAGACTGGGTTTCCCCAACCTTGTGGATACCTAAGGCTCTGCCCCTCACTATGTAACAAGCACATCAAGACAAAAAAATGGCCCGAACAAAAGAACAGATCAAAGCTCCAGAAAAAACACAACTGAACAACCAAGAGATAGCCAGCCTATCAGATGCACAGTTCAAAACACTGGTGATCAGGATGCTCACAGAATTGGTTGATTTTAGTCACAAATTAGATGAAAAAATGAAGGCTGCACTAAGTTAAGTAAAGGAAAATGAACAGGGAACCAATGGTGATGGGAAGAAAACTGGGACTCAAATCAAAGGAGTGGACCAGAAGGAAGGAAAAAATGACCAAACAGAAAAGAATGAAGAAACAAGAATTCAAAAAAATGAGGAGAGGCTTAGGAACCTCCAGGACATCTTTAAATGTTCCAACATCCAAATTATAGGGGTGAAGGGGAAGAGGAAGAGCAACAAGTGGAAAACTTATTCGAACAAATAATAAATGAGAACTTCCCCAATCTGGCAAAGGAAATAGACTTCCAGGAAATCCAGGAAGCTCAGAGAGTCCCAAAGAAGTTGGACCCAAGAAGGAACACACCAAGGCACATCAATTACATTAGCCAAGATTCAAATGAAGGAGAGAATCCTAGAAGCAGCAAGAGATAAGGGGATAGTAACCTACAAAGGAGTTCCCATCAGACTGTCAGCTGATTTCTCAAAGGAAACCTTGCAGGCAAGAAGGGGCTGAAAAGAAGTATTCCAAGTCATGAAAGGCAAGGACCTACATCCAAGATTGCTCTATCCAGCAAAGCTTTCATTTGGAATGGAAGGGCAAATAAAGTGCTT